GCCCGGCTAATTTTGTATTTTTAGTAGAGATGGGATTTCTCCATGTTGGTCAGGCTGGTCTCGAACTCCTGACCTCAGGTGATCCGCCCGCCTTGGTCTCCCAAAGTGCTGGGATTACAGGAGTGAGCCACCATACCTGGCCCTGATGGCAAATTTTTGGCTTGGCTTTCTAGCCTCAAGAGGCTTTTAAAAAGTGAATCTGAGATGCCTTATTAAAAGTTCTAACAAGGTAGACTTAAAAAGAGCCTACATACATCAATTCTCATTCTTGCTGCCCTTATGTAAATAATCAGGCCAAATCTAGTGAGACCAGACTTATTTTGTAATTGAGAATCAAGAGAAGCACCGTATGGAGAAATGACGCTCCAGTGGAAAACTATGGTGCACGCTTGCGAGTTCTCAGTTCCTCTCATTTCCTCCAGTATCTGGCTACAATGCTCCAAGCTAACATTTCCAGTTTTGCTCCTGCCCCCTCAGTTGGCATGACAAAGACCTAAAACCTGCCACTTCCCCAAAGCCCGAAAGCTGACGCTGGAAGACTTGATACAAACTTCAAAGAAATCATCACAGCAGACGATGTACAGATAATCCTTGTGCCTCCTGCTGTACAGGCCGCTCAGAAAGTTCACCGGAACACCCAGTGCCATCACCAAAGACATCTAAATTGCACACTATGAAATTCACTGGCCGGCTGCTGCCACTCTCACTCTACCATGAAAAGATACTTCAAGCCAACATCTAGGAATCTTCTCAACTAAATGTTCTCTTGACTGAAAAAATAGAGTTTAGGCCAGACACGGTGGCTCACGCCTGTAATCCCAGCAGTTTGGGAGGCCAAGGCAGGCGGATCACGAGGTCAGGAGCTTGAGACCATCCTGGCTAACACGGTGAAACCCTCTCTCTCCTAAAAATACAGAAATTTAGCTGGGCGTGGTGCCACACACCTGTAGTCCCAGCTACTCGGGAGGCTGAGGCAGGAGAATTGCTTGAACCTGGGAGGTGGAGGTTGCAGTGAGCCGAGATTGTGCCACTGAACTGCAGCCTGGGTGACAGCGACTCCATCTCAAAAACAAACCAAACAAAAAACAACAAAAAACCCCAGAGTTTATGGTTTGTTCAAACCACTGAACTTCACGTTTGTTGACATAGAAAGGCCCCTTATTAACAGGCTGACTTAGGTAGTCACCCTACTCCCACCTCCACCACTACCTTCCGAAATGAGACACAACTGTTGACCTGGAGTGATCTAGTCACAGCACTGACAGAAGGATTCATGCAGCATGAGACAATCTACCAACTATGTTTCTGGACTGGAAAACTTCCTGGGGAAAGTTTCAAACGGGGGAATGCTGGGGTCCAGAACACCACCATTCCAAATATGGCTCAGCCTCTCAAAGTGCTGGGATTACAGGCATGAGCCACTGCGCCTGGCCCACAACTGCAAGCTTTCTAAAGGAACTGCTGCTCACAGAGGGGTTCCAGGGCCTATCTCCCTGTCACCAGGTTGTGGCTGGAAGAAAAAGTAAGTTCTCCTGGTAGCATTGAGTTTTCTCAAGCAGGAACCTACAGAGGCTGGAGTCATCATCCCTCTGCAGGGGCTAATGAAATCAGGAAGCTTCTGGAAGTTTCTCTCTAGGACAGAGCCTGGCACATTCAGGTGATGGAGCATTGTCCATCTTGCCTGCCCTGGGCCCGGCTGGTGGGAGGATGCTGAACGGAGTGCCTCCTTCTCTGTCGCCACCAGACAGCTACCTCTACACACATGATCAAATTTGTCTCCATGAGGCTCAGCCTGGCTCTGAACTCTCCCAGGCTTCCCATCCACTAGCCAAAGTCAGTCAGCCCTCAACATCTTTCATAGTCTTCCAAGCTGTAGGAGAGACCTTCTCCATCTCAGACTGGGCCTGGCATCTGGCAGGCACTTAGGAGCACTGCTGAGTAAATGGGTGTACACTTGCCTTTGAGGGGAGTTTGGCATCCAGTGACCTTGGAGGGATGCCTTGTGATTGAAATCAATCTCCAGCCCCCTGCCCTCCCCAGAGGTCAGGCTGGTCTCCCGTGTCTCAAAGCCTGCACCCTCTAACTGTGTAATTGACCTTTCTGGAGTGGCCACCCCCTATCCTGAGTCACCATAAACTATCAGGGCCCCCGAAAAGTAACACAGATAATTCCTGTCCCTTGGGAAACTCCAAGGTTCAGAAGTCACCCCCCAGGGGCCAGGACAAAGGCCAGGCTGCCCTTTGGGTAAAGGTGATTCTTGAATATGTGAATACCCAGTGGAGTAGAAATATATCTTTTTTTTTTTTGAGACGGAGTTTCGCTCTTGTTGCCCAGGCTAGAGTGTAACGGCGTGATCTCAGCTCACCACAACCCCTCTGCCTTCCAGGTTCAAGCAATTCTGCTGCCTCAGCCTCCCAAGTAGCTGGGATTACAGGCATGCACCACCACGCCCAGCTAATTTTATATTTTTATAGAGATGGGGTTTCTCCACGTTGAGGCTGGTCTCGAACTCCTGACCTCAGGTGATCCGCCTGCCTCAGCCTCCCAAAGTGCTGGGATAACACGCGTGAGCCACCGCGCCCGGCCAGAAACATTGATTTTAAGATTCAAGATTTCTCTTTAAAATATCTTAACCCAGCTGCTTTAGAATTAACACCAAAACCAGGTTTCCCCTTTCGACTGATAGTGCTCCAACAAGAAAGGTGGGGGCCGGAGGTAGTCCCATTTGAAAAGACGGTGTTTGATGACTGAGATGAAGGCCTGAGTGGTTTTATGGTGCTTTGGAGGCATCACTTTCCTTAGCATTCGCCAGTATTTTGAGATGCTATTATGGAGTTGTTCACGAGTCATCTGTGCTCAGCCACACTGAGCATGTGACCGATCACAAAGCATCTGTAGGATCAGACCCTATAGCTGCTCAGTTCCCATCACATATGCTTGGCATCCTACAATGACTGGGGGAGAAATGCCGAGAGCCCCTTTCTAGATGAGAGAGCTGAGGGTTTGGGGGCTGGGAGGTGGTATAGGCAGGACTTTGACCAGGATGATGAGCCCCAAATCTAGAAAGCCCCCCATCACCCTGCCTCCCGGCCCAGCTGCGCCTGAGAGACCGGCCAGGACAACCCTGACCGACCACACCTGCTCTGTCTTTGGACAGTGTGGCCTGGCTGTCCATGGTGGGGCAGCCCCAACGACCCCCTCTCTTGCCCTGCAGTGCCAGGTGGCAACAGAATGAGGGTGGGGACACGCCACCTAGGCCACCCCAGAGCCTGACCCTGGGCCAGTAGCAGGGGGACAGCATCTGAGGACCAAGCCCCCCGACTCCCGCCCCAGGGCAGCTACGCACAGGTGATCCCGAGAATCTGCTCGTAGGCCTGGAAGGTCAGAAGCGGCTGCGGCAGCTCTCGCAGGAAGGTCTTCAGGATCACCGCAGGGATGTGAATGTCCCCGTAGTCGTCAAAGTTCACGGGCTTCCCTGCACACAGAACATGGCACTGCTGAGGTCTGCACCCCGGCCTGGGCACTGCGGCTGTAGAACGAGCTCTGAGACAGGGCGTGAGATGTCCGGATGGGAAGTGCCTGATGCTGGAGCCACGTGTCCTGGGGATGATGCTGTCCCCACCTAGAAATGGGGTGCCCTGGCCCCATCAGCCCCTACACCACCCTCACTGCCTCCTCCTGGGCTCCCAGTGGAGGATGGGGTGGGCTGCTGGCTTCTCTGTGGTGTGCTGTTGCTGCCAGCTACAATGCCAGCTCTCTGAGGTCAGGGCCATGGCAGAGATGACACTGCAGGCCTCGGGCCTGAGACAGGCAGGCCTGAGCTCGGCCCAGTGCAGACCCAATGCTCTATTTTTGTGTGATGCACAACTGGTCGCCGGAGCGAGTGGGATCGAGGACAAGTCTTGTCAGCGGCTTCGTATCAGTGCGATGCGTCCTCAGCTCAGAGGCCACTGCCCCTGCCTGCAGGTTACACATGGCAGTTAAGGAAGCTGTGCTGAGCCAGTTTGGGGGAGCTGCCAGATAAAAAACCAGCTGCCCTGCACTGCAGGGTGTCTCCTGAAAGCATGTGCCCACCTGGTGCGGATGGAGAGCCCCTAAAGGCAAAATGGCATCGTGCGGCCACCATGTCCCAGCAGGGTTGGGGGTCTGGACAAAGGGTCCCTACTCTGGACTACCAGTGGGCCCCTCGATGGCTCCTGGGCAGCTGCCCCCACCCTGAGTGTTTTCTGGGAGTTGGATGGGTTTTGGGGGCGGTGCTTCCCTGCCTCTGCTCTGAGGCCCAGGAGCGCTGTGCTCGCTGGCCAGGCAGCTCGGGGCTCAGGACTGCGGGACAGCCTCACCTTGGTTGTAGAGCCTCTGGATCTCGCGGACGGTCTGCACGCTGGCGGATCTCCGGAACAGGCCCTCGGTGCGCAGGCCTGCAGGAGGGGAGCTTCCAGGCGTCTCACAGGTCCCAGCCCACTGGGCTTCCAGGACGTTATATGACACCCCCTTGCCTATGGCATCACCCACCTGTGGCTGGCCTCCACAAATTCATTTGTTCCTCAGATCTTTCCCATATTCCCCAACCCGCCCGATTTCCCACCTCTGTGGTCTGTGGAAAGGGAAAGCAGAAACAGATTCTAAACTCAGACAGACCTAGGCTCTAGTCCAGCTCTGCCTACCAGCTGTGTGACCTCAGAGAAAACACTCAGCCTCTCTGAGCCTATCTGCCTTGTTTGTCTACAGAGTAAGGCCATGAGCTCCTGTCTCCGAGGGCTGCAGAGAGGACTGGACACGCTGATGCCCAGCACGTGCCTGGCACCCGGGAGGCCTCCAGACATGTGACTTCCCACAAGGGCTAGGGCAGAGCTGTCCAGCACAGCAGCCAGTAGCTGTACATGGGGACTGAACTTTAATTAAAATTAAATAAAATTAAAAATCTAGTCACTCAATTGCATGAACCTCATATGACCTGCCCTATTGGGCTACTGCCACAGGGGCTGGTGGCTGCTGTTTAGACAGTGAAGATACAGATGATGTCCAAGTTCGATTAGGTGATTCTGCTAAAGAGGTGATTGTAATCAAAGAAGAAGACTTGTCTCCATGGCCGGTTTATAAAGAGAGTTTTCAGGGCCAGGCGCGGTGGCTCACGCCTGTAATCCCTGCACTTTGGGAGGCCGAGACGGGCGGATCACGAGGTCAGGAGATTGAGACCATCCTGGCTAACATGGTGAAACCCTGTCTCTACTAAAAAATACAAAAA